GCGCGCCCGAAAGCAGAAGCCAGAGGCCACTTCCGCATCATAACCCGAAAGCCCGGGGCGGCCACCCCCCGCCCCTTCCCCGGACAGGAGGCCGCGAAACGTCAGCGCGCGCCCTTTCCCCTCCCCCGGCGGCTCGGGGCACGAACACCGACCTTCTGTCCTGAATGGGGACTGGGAACGTGGGACGCAGGCCGCGGCGCATGCGCAGTCTGCTTTTCCGGTTCTCGACGTGTGTGCGTAAGGAGCCGCCCGTCGGCGCATGCACCCCCCGCCCCTTCCCCGGACAGGAGGCCGCGAAACGTCAGCGCGCGCCCTTTCCCCTCCCCCGGCGGCTCGGGGCACGAACACCGACCTTCTGTCCTGAATGGGGACTGGGAACGTGGGACGCAGGCCGCGGCGCATGCGCAGTCTGCTTTTCCGGTTCTCGACGTGTGTGCGTAAGGAGCCGCCCGTCGGCGCATGCGTACAGCAGCCCCCCCAGGCCGCGCCGCCCCTCTCCGCAGCCTACGTCAAACATTCTGGCCACGCCCCCTACACGTGCTGAAGACCACGCCCCTGATCCAGCAGCCCACCCCTCCTCTGCCCGCAGCACGTGCCAAAACACAGGGCACCCCTGCTCCCAGCCTGGAACCCTGGCTGCCCCCAGTATGTGCCAGCCACTCGGCCCCTGTGCTGGGACCCTAGCTCGCAACATGGACCAAACACTCTGGCCCTGCCCTGAGATCCTACCCCCAAAGTGCCCCAAACAATCTGTCCCCATTCGGTGAACCTGCCCAAATACCCCATCCCAGCCCCTGAGCTGGGACTCTGACTGCCACCCGTCCACCATGTCCCAGAACTGTCAAACAGGCTGGACATGGCCATGGTCTCATCTCCCATCAGAAGGAGAAGGAGAAAATTGCCATTGTCTGCTGTTCTCTGGTGGGTTTGGCGGTGTCCCTACTGAGTCTGCCATTTGTGATATCCGCCTGACCTGTCCTGCCCTGCCTCTCGTTGTTAGGGATGGGGCTCACAGCATCTAGTTTCCACAAAATTTGTCAGTAGTTCAGTTCAAATGATTGCAACTCTATGTGCTGAAGATAGACAATTACTATGTAAATCACACATTGCTGCTAGAAACCTCATCTTTCAACAGAGTTTGCAAATAAGAGCCTAACTCTAAGCGTGTGAGTAGTTGCACTGGAGTGAGTGAGGCATAAAATTAAGAATATGCTTATAATGCTTAGATACAGATTGCTACTGCTTGAACTAATGGAAAAGTCCCGGAGGTACTACTAGAAAGTCCCCTATACTCTGAGTCAACTGCTAAAGGGAAATTTGATTATGTACATAACTCTAGTACATTACAAAGGGATCTAAATCTTTTCTGGGGCACAACAGGGAATAAAAGCCTTGCTAAATGTAAGCTTTCAGCTTTTTATTTTCTCTTTAGCATAAAATAGAGACAATACTTGCTAGTGCAGGCACTGGGATTTCAAACTATGATGATATTTTAAACACTATTTTAAAGCTATGATGTCAGTATTGCTTTCCTGAAATTAATTTGATTGTAATTCTTTTTGCTTTATGCTTTTTATTTTATTGTCTCCTATTATTTGTTACCCATAGTTTTTCTGTTTCTTCTAAATCCGTGATACAGGGCTGAAAAGCTTTCTTTAATTACTGAAATAACTTGCTGCCAAAATAAAAATGTCTTTATATTGGTGTGAGAGGTAATGTTATGTAAGGTTCAATTTAATATTTTACCTCTTGTTCTTACTAAGTAATTTGTCTCCTATGGCTGTTTGTTTCAGTGGGCCCAATAGTACCCACTGTTACTCGTCTTCAGTGGTACTACTTATACGCGTAAATCTTACTTTTAGACATATAAGTGTTGTTGAATTGAACCTTTTCTCTGTTTTCAAGAAAGGGAGGGGAGGAGTATACCCAACTGGGTGGGGTTTCTATGTGGGGAACAACACAAGATATTTTGTTCTCAAGAAAAAAAATAGGAGTACTGCCAGGATTTTTTACTCCACCCCTCAGGTACATCCATTTAAAAGTACTTGTTGCTCTAACATTGCAGTTTCACTCAAAGGCAACAAACATGGCAAAGCCACAGAACAAATTAGCTGATGAAATAGAGAAAGCAGTGGAGAAGATGAAAGGGGTTTCCCTTAAAGATCTGCGGTTCTTTTATCAGGGAACCCCGTATCCTGTCCATATATGTAGTGCAGAGACATTCAAGGCCCTGGAAAACTTAGAAGCCAGAAGAGATGATATGGTGCTGGTGTCTTACCCCAAATGCGGTGAATACAGTAGATATTATTACTTGCTACAATGTAAAATATAAGATGTCATAAATAAGTATATGGTGTAATAAGAGGGACAATAACACCAACTGCAATTTTTAGTTCTGCATATGTTTTGTAGAGATTTTAATTTGGGCATTGATGATAAAAACAGACCATCATGTTTTATCCTGTGTCACTTTAATTGTGCATTCTATTGAATTGTTTCTTTTCAGTACAGTTTGCCTTTCTTCAAGGATATCTTAATTTAATGCAGTGGTGGGGAACCTAAGGCCCAGGGGCTGGATGCAGCCCTTAGCTTGCCTGGATCCAGCCCTGAGGTTCGGGGCTCTCCCCAGCATTGAGGAATCCACACTGGTGAGGGGTAGTTTTTGTTTGTTTGTTTTTCATTTGTGTGCAGCCCCCAAATGATTTTTCTGCGGGTCAGTGGCCCTAGACTCCAAAAAGATTCCCCAGTCCTGATTTAATTATTCTGTTCTGCAGGTGGCTGCATACTAGAGAAGATATATGAAAGTAAATTCTGCTAATTTGATACACTTAGTTTGAAAAGAGGGGTGTAGTCTACTGTGCAATAATGTTACAAGACAAGAATAATTGTTACTAATTATGGAAAAGTGACAGGACATCTTGGATGCTTTTGCTGCAGTTTAAGCTTTTCTTAAATCATATCAAAAGTAGCAAAAACAACCTGAAATTTTAAAAAGTTTATCTAGTGAGTAAAACACAGTGCAGACCATTAGTAGTTCAGGTTCCTTTTTCTGGTGGACTGTGGTAACATTTTGAAAATGAAGTGACGGGCTTTTATAGTTTTAGGAGATAATACAGCTCTAAGAGAGAGTCTCTACTTACAAAGTTGTCAGCAGAGGAAAACAGGTACAGGTTTATTTAATCTTTAGTTGAGAAACCTATTACAATAGAGTGAATAAATGGGCCCCAACTGGATTGCATCAATCATAAAGACCTCACTGAGAGCCTAATTGTGAGAGATGCGGATTAGCCACAGTTCTTGTTGATTTCAAGAGCAGTTACAGGTACTCATCACTCAATCCTAACTCAGGTTGAAACATCCAATGACTCAAATGAGAATTTTGCCTTACTAAGGATTTAAGAAATATGCTTGCAGTGATTATGGTAAATATCTCAGCCATGGAGAGTCAGGAAGCCAAAAATAGGACAAATATAAAATGAGAGATGGGTTGAAAATGTGGATCTGTATTCTGAATATCCCATAATTTAGGGATTTTTAGGGACAATTTGAGGATGAGGGCTATTTACTTAATTTGGTTTGGTTTATATTTTAAACAGCGCTACAGTCTGGAGACATTCAGAAATTCAATTATTTTAATGAGGCACGCCTGGCTAGTTTTGTTCTGGAGGGACTTCTTAAAAATTCCCCACTATTGCTAATACTAATGTAGCTCGTGGTGAATTAATGGTGGAAAGTTTTAAGAATAGACAAGATATAGCTAATGAGTTCAGAGAACTGAATCTGCAACTCCCTGCAGGTTTCCAGCACCTGGGACTGAGCAGGACAGCTGTAGTACAGGCAGTCCCCGACTTACGCGGATCCGACTTATGTCGGATCCGCACTTACGAACGGGGCTTTCTCGCCCCGGAGGTCGAGGTGGCGGATTGCTACCTGCGAGCTCCAATAGACAAGATATAGCTAATGAGTTCAGAGAACTGAATCTGCAACTCCCTGCAGGTTTCCAGCACCTGGGACTGAGCAGGACAGCTGTAGTACAGGCAGTCCCCGACTTACGCGGATCCGACTTATGTCGGATCCGCACTTACGAACGGGGCTTTCTCGCCCCGGAGGTCGAGGTGGCGGATTGCTACCTGCGAGCTCCGGGGCGAGAA